GGTCAGCACAGGACAAATGACAGCGGCAATACACTCAGGTTCACATGCTCCCAATGCAGGGACAACTTGGAATATGTTCCCAAAGACTTAGTGAAACACTTTGAGGAAAAGCACAGAGGGAGCCCACCAGTTTTTTCCTGTCATCTGTGTGCTTTCCGTACGCATGAGTTCTCCTTCCTTCAGGTTCATCTATTAAGCCACAAAGACACTTTTTCTAGTTGCAGCATTTGTCATGACAATGTTCAGCGCACATGGCCTGAATTCAGTGGACACCTGACTATGTATCACTGCCAAAATGGCAAATATGCATGTGACATGTGTCAGAAATTCTCCACAGGTGATGTGAGACTATTTTTAGAGCACACATATGCACATGATTTGTGCAGAGCACAGAGAACAGAGAAGTCACTGCAGCTCTTGGGCCTGGAAGGAGCTAATGATCTATCGCTTCACGTAAAGGGCGAGAATAAGTATGGTCCCAAAACAACCACTCGATCTTTACGTTGTCAGCACTGTGACTACGCGACTTCTCACAAATGGTTACTCACTAGGCACGTTAAAGCTATCCATTTTTGCCGGAATGGTAATCGGAGCAAGAGGAAGAAGAAAGAGGATAAATGGACCAAAGCTTCCGAGACTGATCTGGACGACCCCTCTGAAGCCATCGCTTCCAGTCCACAGTCAAAGCCAGGGGAAGAACTAACCCCCAGTTGTGCTGCAAAGCCAATGGGGTCCAAAAACGTGGACAGAAACACGCCTGTCGTGCTCGAAGGCTTGCCATCATCACATCAAGAAATGCAAGATGACACTGAGAAGTCACTGCAGCTCTTGGGCCTGGAAGGAGGTAATAATCTATCACTGCACGTAAAGGGTGAGAATAAGTATGGTCCTAAAACAACCACTCGATCTTTACGTTGTCAGCACTGTGACTATGCAACTTCTTACAAATGGTTACTCACTAAGCACGTCAAAGCTGTCCATTTTTGCCAGAATGGTAATCAGAGCAAGAAGAAGAAGAAGAAAGAGGAGGTTCGCTCCATAGCAATGAAACAAAATGACCCAGTCCCAAAAATTAAGCCTAGATTAACAAGAAGTGCAGTTAGGGAAATGTGCTGGCTGACAGAGGACTGTCTTTCTCTGCCAGGGAGAGAGTTCCTGGATAAATACTGCCATCTGTCAGATCCACAAACAACACTAGAGGAGACTCAACAGTTCTTGATGAAATCTGTTGCCGGGGAAAACGGTAATCAGAAATGGACCAAGGCTCTTAAAACCGTTTTGTCAAATGTCCCTCAAGACATGAATCTTCACCCGAGGTCAGAGAATGGCATCGTGTCTAACTCATCGGATCTCACCGTCCTGACTGTCAAGAACAAGATAACAGTGGCTCAGAACGGTGCTACTTACGCCAAAAGGTTGAAAATGATGACATCATCAGACAAGGAAACCCCTGAAAGTACTCCTGATGATGCTCGTTGTGTAGTCGACCAAAATGAATGTCAGTCAAATCTGAGCAATCATACACCTTGTCCACAGACTGAAACCAAACTAAATAACTTTGTCTCAATGCCAGTCCACAGTGAGCCATCTGAGTGCACTCAAATGCAGGAAAACAGAGAGAATCAGGAGTTAAAGATTGATCAGGAAATCAAGGAATATAATAAAAAACCAGAGGAGCCTATGCATGAGGATGGGATTGATATCTCCAGTGAGCTGAAGCTGACAAATGACAGCGAAGAGCAGATTCATAAAGTTGCACCAAAAAAGAAGAGACGAAGACGAAAAAGAAAGGCCAGACCTAGAACGGTGGCTAAAAGAGCATCAGGTGTGGCTTTAAAGATAGTGTTGAAGAAGAATCCAGTGAAGGAGAAGCAGTGGGTGTCTCAAAGCTCTTTGTCTCCATCAGGAGGTGGTCTGATGGATGAATATCATGGACTGCCAAGCCCTCATACGACAACAGAGGAGACAGTGCAGGTTCTCCAAAACAAGCTGCTAATAAAAGCACACCAGAAGAAATGGACCAAAGCTTCTGAGACTGATCTGGACGACCCCTCTGAAGCCATCGCTTCAAGTCCGCAGTCAAAGCCAGGAGAAGAGCTAACCCCCAGTTGTGCTGCAAAGCCAATGGGGTATAAAAATATGGACAGAAACACACCTGTTGTGCTCGAAGGCTTGCCGTCGACGCATCAAGAAATGCGGGATGACACAGAGAAGTCACTGCAGCTCTTGGAAGCAGAAGTTGACGAGAGCGGTTCAGCTTGTATGACAGCCCAGTCAGATGTGAGGACTGAAGTAGAGATGTGCCCTGAGAACGTACAGCTCCGAACATCAGGCAGTGGCACAGAGTGTCATGTGTCAGACAATGAGATGAGTTCAGCTGCTGATGGAGCGACTCCCCATAGCAGTTACACCAAGTCTTCCCCTGTTTCCCAACCTGTTATTACAGCACATGGTAAGATGGCAAATTACTGTTCCTGCATAGCCATAATGGCTAAGGTTTTAACATGCAGTGGCATCTTCTTTACATACATTTGCAATAGCACACCTGTCTGTTTTGAAATGAGTATTTTCAACTTTTGTCTTGCAGGTAATGCTCTCATTTCAGAGCACAGTGACCAGAGTGTTGAGGTGGTGAGAGACAGAGAAGTGCCCACTGACCCCTGCCCAGATCTCCTCAGCAACACCAACTTGCCTGCCGGAAAAGCCATCCTACAGGATCCCTCACCAGCCCCTGTGCATCAGAGGCAGCCATTCCCAAAGAACCTGGAGAGGACCCTGAAATTAGTAGCCATAAATCCATCTCAGTTGGTAAAGCGTCCAGCGGGAGACCAGCCTGTTGTGGTGCTAAATCATCCAGATGCTGACATCCCCGAGGTCGCCAGGATCATGGAGGTCATCAACAGGTACAGAGGAGAGGTGCAGAAGGTCGTACTGTCACGAAGAACTATGAACGCTCTCTCAGCCATGGACGGCAAGGTCCCTGAGATGAATGACTCATCGGATGCCCAGCCTGATTCTCCAGGCTGTGCTGAAAATCCAGTACAGGAGAGATTTATGTTGAAATTGAAACTTCGTAGGCTGAGCAGGAAAAAGTATGAAGTTGTCGGTGCGGTCTCTCCCAGCGGGGATGTCGCAAGGAAGTTTCGTTGCTGGTTTTGCGGCAGGGCCTTTGCAAGTGAGGAAACGTGGATGGTCCATCGGCAGCGACACCTGATGGAGTGGAAAGGGCCAAACTGTGAAAACTCATAATGTCGCACACACTGGATGAAAAGCAGTCTGGAAAATCATGACTTTTCAGTACAAACAAAACAATAATGGAAACAGTGATAGCCAGTCTCCTCAGTTTTTTTTTTAAGTCTTAATTTTGTTTGGTTGGTTTAGAGGAGAGTCAAATCATTCTCACGCCTCCTGGAGGATTCACATTCTCAGGGTGAACATTTACCTGTTGTCTCTCTCACAGTTGGAGTAGCTTGATACAAACTCTTCGTACATTAGTGATTCTTCGTAAAGCCACAAGGATGTGGTGTTGATAATTTAGTTCTTTGTATTGTTTGTACTTTGTCTACGCAATAGCTTTATTTAAGGTGATTTTTAAGTACACTGTCATATGGAATCTTTTATAGAACACTGTAATATGTATATTTGCCATACCATCTGAATTATATGAATCAGTTTATGTACGGGTAGGCTCTACAGTGTGGTAGCTATCATATTTATGTTTATGGAATGGGACGCAGAGACCCACAAGTTACTCAGATATACCAAAACTGTGTGTTTAAAAAAAAAAAAAAAAAAAAAGACAATAAGCTGTTTTATTCATCATTTATTTATGACTCTTAGGTTTAGCCTTTATATGCTTTTCTTGATGCTTTTTGGGGGCCATTGGAAGAATCAGTGTATTTGTAAAATTTTTGTATAAACTCCAAATTATGTTTAAATAATAGTATTATCTGTAAGAGGTATATTTTCTTGCATTAATTAAGTGGAGGCAGATAACCCTAAAGACACGATTAATTTAAAAAAAAGTAAACCTGTGTTTTGTGATGTCAATGAAATACTAAAAGTTTTTTTTAAAGGTCCAGTGTGAAGGATTTAGAGGCATTTATTGGCAGATATGGTATATAATATTCATAACTACGTTTTCATTAGTTTATAATCACCGGAAACTAGGAATTAATGTGTTTTTGTTACCTTAGAATGAGCTGGTTATATCTTAAGACATGGCGGAGTCCGCTACATTGTTTCTGTAGTAGCCAAGAGTGGACAAACTCAACACTGGCTCTCGATGCGGCTGTTTGTGTTTTTGCGTTGGCTAGCATAGTTCTCACGACACGCTTGACAGATGGGAGAAGTTTTAGTTCTGCAACCTCACTGCTACATGCTACTAAATCCTACACACTGGAGCTTTACATCTGGATTCAAGAGGCCTAGATGATTTGATCATGTGTTTTTTTTTCCTCAGTAAGTTTCCTCTTTTGACTTGAAATGATAATCTTATCTTTTAATTGCACTATGAAAGGAGGATTTATATTTCCCATTACCTCACCTTATCAGGCCTGAGCTTTCGACAATCTCAACCAGTGTCCTACTGTGGCTCAATATTTCCTTATGCAGCCATGATCCCTCAGTATTCACAGCAAGGGAACAGTGTGTGTGAGTGTGTGTGTGTGTTTGTTAGATTATAAGCATTTGACAGATATACTTGTCCTATATGTACTGATATTGTGCATGTATCCCTGTTTCTGGAGTGCACATTTCAGTGTCAGTAAGTCACTGTATATATACTTTTTTCAATTTAGATAAAAGATTTATAATTGTGTACATAGTCCAGATAGAGGTACTGTAAAATATTACCTGAGAATTTTCACAAAGTGCCTAGGAATTCTTGTTATGCAACACCTATGCATGAGTATGATAGCATTACTTGTTGACCAGACAATAAATGAACCAGTCTGTCAGTCCCTGCTCGCATTTTGTGATGACTGAAGATGTGAGCTGAGTTATAACAACACCAGAAAAAAAGTTTTATTAAAAAAACAAAACAAAAACTTTGTATTTTTGGCTCCCCAAAGTATTGCTGTCATAAACAAATTCTTTGTCTACCTGCGTCCTTCAGCTACAGCCTCACCGTCTCATTCCTTGCATTAATTTTAACACACTGTTTACTGACTGAGCATTAAAAAAACATCTTAATAAAACACAAGTTAAAAAGTCATCTGAGTCAGTGCTATTTTGGCTCTGCATGGCCAGCAATGCAGACAAGTCCAGCATACAATCCTGCTGACAGGACCGCAGATCAACACTGATGGAGGAGAAAAGCGTCGCACAGTGAGTTCTGTGAACAACAGTCTGACGGTACACGCAGCAGGTTGGGATGCACAAGTTCAGTCGGCTTTTTGCCACCAGCAAGGGTCATCTAGGGCCTGGCAGGGTAGCACAGTTTGGTGGCATCCTTGGTGTTACTCTGGCTGTCGATCAACACCAGAGGATGCTTCTGGTGGTTCTCGATGATGTGGGAGACGCTGCTGAAATACTGCAAAAGAGAAGGATGGTGATGAAGTTGGTGTCAGAAGTTTACGTGTCCGTCTTAGTTGTCCCATCATCAAATCATGTTAATGAGGTAAAATTTAATATTTTCTTAATCTTCCTCTAAACATTTTAAATGATCTTGAAAGTTGATTTACAAAACCATTTGTGGAATAATCTTTTGATAGTCTTGGCATTGTGCACACCAGCTCATTAGCTGTGTCTGATATCAAACCCTATTTATTATATAGAGCACTTTATTCACTGTCCATCTTTTAATTTGAGCGTGGTAAATCTCAGCGTAAAATGTATGATCGATAAGCGTCCGTAAAAACTCCACGTCATGCCATAGATAGATATGAAAATGACTGTTATGACAGACTCCACAGCTGTCCATAATGACTAGCAAATATTGTTAGAGCCTACTATTTTTAAGTTATATAACATAGATAGGGTAGGACTTTGGCGTAAACAGCATTACTAATGTTTAAACCGACTTTTATTATCCTTTGCTGGAGTACAGTTAACAGAAATAAAGTTAAGCTCACAAATTTGCTACATTTGATTTCACATATTTCATAATAATCTGGGCTGCTCTAATTGGAAATCAAGGATCCCCAACAATGTCAAGTAAATATCATTTTCAATACTCTGATTTAGATAACAGAACAACAGAATAACTTTTACTCAAATGTATTCAATTTCTTTAGGGAATAGTTTAGGATAAACCACCTGGACATAGGGGTGGGAGACACTGCCCTAAAATAATATCATGATATTTCAGGGTATTCTTGGCAACATTACAAATTACTAAAAAAAAATGTTTATTATTAATTTAAGAAAATAGAATTGAAACAAAATAAGTGATATCGTTTTACATGTTAACCTAACAATTTACCTTCAAATATTCAGTAAAAAATGAGCTCTCATTTCTATAGTTTGTAAACAACAGTAACTCAGAGTGAAATTTAGATTCTGTTTACAATAATAACAGTCCAACAAAATAAAATTTACCAGAAATTACACATTAAAACAGCTTCCAAATACAAAAAATTAACCCTGGGGTCTGTATTTATAAATCATTTGTGTGTTTGTCTGTCTTTTGTAATGGACCTGGAGTCTAAATAAAAAGGTTGATTGATTGATTGATTGAAATCAACAGGTGATTTCCTTCTTTTAGCAAAATCCCAAATGACTGAGTTGTTTTTTTTTCACCTGGACCTTTATGCTCTCTTTATGCTTCACATTTTTTCGTCAAGCTGCGATTGTCAGGTTATGTGTAGCTTTACATCACCAAATTCTTATGACAAAATCACTTGAAGACACTGATTCCTATGTGCACACAGCAAGAGAGGAGAGGGAGAGACGCTGTGCTGCTGCCGGAGAAGCCGCTGAATGAGTTCATTCTGAGTGGTAACTCGCTAAAAGAGAAGTCCGCAGCTGTTCATAAAACATTCAGGACGCTCAGGTCTAACAACCCCACAGTTTATTCCACACTGCTGGAGCTGCTCCTCTTTTTGGAATCGGTAAAAATTTGCTTTCAGCCATGCTTGTTGTTGCCATGCAGAACAGTATGACGTCAATATGACAACACGCGGGAATACTGCGAGTATCATGATGTGAATTTTTCATATCATATCCTCCTGAGACCCTACGTCCTACTATGAGGACATCACAGTTTGGGTTTACTTGACCTTATACTTCATTCTACTTAAGTTAGATCTGTTGTCCTCATTCATGGTCACTTTTTTGCCATCTGTAAAAACAAGATGGCAGCCATCTCTACCAGTCAGTTTGCAGCTGAACCCGACACTACAGTGAACCTGATCAAAATATATGGCTGAAACTTGTTTATGTTTAATGTTTCTAGTTTAATATGGCAACAAATTTGACCAATTTTAGCAACAGTAACAGGCTAAGACTGTTAGGAAATACTCATTAGAGGACACTGGGACTTTATCATCATCTTGTTTGAGGGCATGTACTGGGACTTCATTATCATTGACAATGTTTAGTTTTTTCCACACTTATTGGGTTATATTGATCCCAAATAACTAGGAGAAATTAAAAATACATACCAAACAAAAGTTCAGGTCTCAGGAGGATATTAAAAATTATACCGGTATTATCGTGAACAATATGGCACACCCCTATCAGCATATATTATTATCTGAATGACACAAAGTTAATGGTATTTTAAAAACCTAAAATATTAGGGCTTTTGAGAAAACATTGAGGAGCCTTAGGCCTATATGCCACCCCTGCTCCGCTTCTGGTCTGCTGTGAAAAAAGCCTGTTGGCCAGGCAATAACTCTGAGCTCTGGTGCAGTGTGATGCGGAAGTCCTTTCTGACAGAAAGTCCTATCTGACAGAATCTATACATTCTAACTCAACCCCTAACCTTATCCTAGAAATCCCTTTCCGACAGAAAGCCTGCATATAATTAGACTCTAACTTTTTTTTTTAACATTGTGCAAAACATTGATTAATCCCTATAAACTCCATTTTGTCGTCAACAACTGGGCCACAGTGGCAGTCAAACTGAGAAAAATAAAGAGTACCTCCTCTCCTCTCTTCTCTCTTCCCAGAGCGTACTGCTGTGTCGCTGGTATGAAGCGGATCGGGATGTTGTACACTCTGCCCTTGTAAAACACCACTAATGTGTAGGGCTGCTGTGCATCCTGACCGGAGCTCTTCCTCACCATGAACGCCCCATCCTGAAACAGAAAGCACTCACAGTCACACCCACCTATAGGGGAGGTTATGGGAAACAATGCACATACTACTCATTTGGATGACTGTGCTCTCCCAAATAATGCGATCCTCACTTTGTTTGAGCGACACAAGGCATCGTCAGCAGTCTTGCGGTCACATTCGCTGGCATACCAAGTTTTCCTATAGACATCTGCGTCCTGAAAGAAAGTAGATGGAGGATAAAATGTTAAGCTATCACTGAAGATGCTGTATAAAAAGGTTCATCTTTCCAATATGATGGAAGTGCACACCTTGTCTTGGTCTATTGAGTCATTTTCAGCAGACACACTTCCTCTGTCAGCAGGTTCTGGGACAACAGACAACAACATTATAATAATGTGTGATATGCAGAAATGTAATTGTTTCTGAATTTCTTTCACTGTGCATATAGTTGTTGTGAGACTCGAGCAGGAGCTGTACTTACTGTGGGAGGTCAGCTGTGGAAGAGGAATTCTGCAAGAGAGACCACAAACAGAGCAGACCACAGTAAACACACAGCACCAAGCTGTGATTAAAGGCAATTTTCCTCAGTTGAGGAGCATTAAAAATGCGTATGCTCAGTGGACATAAACGTGTATGTTGCATTTCTTACTTTGGTCGTTTGAAGTCCAGTGAAAAAGCTTTCGATTGAGGCTTCTGGTCCATTTGCATCACAGGCAGTGTGTGGCCTGTGGAAATCCAGACATATGGTAACGAGACTATGTTTGCTGTTTAGTAATGAGTAGAAATTGAAGACACATTCCACAAATGAAACATGTAAATAGGTTTTTTAGTTGTTTCAAGGCTCATAGTGTGCATGTTTAACTGCCAGCTTTAACTTGAATAGGTTTAATGTGGAAAATCTTTAATGACTTGGCTTCAATTTACAGTAAGTCATCAATGTGCTGTACTGCATATGTAGCATGTGTATGTTTGTAATTACAGCCACTGAGTAAATGAAAGGTGCGGCCATAAGCAGATTATGAGACACTGGGTCCCTGAGCACAGATAAACAAAAGGCCCCACCATCCCTCTTACATGGGAGCAAGAAACACAGACTTTGTGGGTTTTAGCAACCTTTTGTGGTTTTGTGTTTCTCTGTGGTAATTTTGTGTCTTTTTTGTGTCATTCTGGGTCTCTTTGTGGTTGATTTGCCTCTTCTTGTAATCATTTTGGGTCTCCTTAGCAGTTCCTTTGCATCTCTTTGTGGTCATTTTGAGTCTCTTTTCCTATTCGTTGGTGTTATTTGAGTGACATTTTGCAGGGAGGGGCTCCCAACACTTTTGGACCCTGGGTCTGTGGCTGGTGGGCCCATTCAGTAATCCATCTATGTATGTGGTGGTAACAATATAGGTGAAATAGTGTTTCAGGAAAATATCTCAATCAGAAGTGGCTGGCACTAACTGGCTGAGTGTACAATGTTTAATAAAAAACCCTGGTGTGACTAGTGATGTGCACATGTAGTATCTGAATAAAACACAAGTAAACACTTACTGTCAAATTTTAAATCTGGCCTCTGCAAAAAACAAACACACAACAAACAAAATCACATTTAATGATTTTCTGTATAATAAAAAAAAGTCTGATAATCCAAAGTCAATCTTAAATTATGCGAATCTTTGACATCCTTACCGGCCTTAAAGGTGGTTTTGGTGACCTCCTGAAAGAAAAAAAGAGATGCCCAAACAATCAGTTATTCCCCTTTTAAAGCTTAAACATGTTACTGTATGAAAAAAGTGCTGCTTACTCTCTGGGCAAAGGTTTGGGTCGAAGTATAGGCGGACCCTCTGCAGTTTTCTCTCTTGAACCTGGATGACCACACAATACAATAATAAGTGACCAGTTATTGTGTGTGCAGTTAGCTTTGCTAAACATCATATGTTACTATTGTCCATTTACCAGTGGTGGAATGTAACTAAGTACATTTACTCAGTACTGTACTTAAGTACAATTTTGAAGTAGGCCTTTAGTATTTCCATTTTTTTTCTACTTTTTACTACTATTCAGCTACATCTTCAAGGGAAATATTGTACTGATTACTTTTTACATATAAAAATATATGATTTGATGCAGCACTCTATGCAGCAGAAAAAAAGTTTAATATTGGCTCCTCAATGACTACAGTACAACATTAAAAATTCATACATGTTGTGTTTGTTGGTGATAAAAACAGAATAATATTCTATAAAAATGAAAAAAATAAATAAAATAAAATAAAAAATAAAATAAAATTATGTGTACTTTTACTTTTGATTCTTCATCACATTTTGCTGATAATACTTCTCTTCGTTTACTTAGGTAACATTTTGAATTCAGAACTTTTTCTTGCAGTGGACTATTTTCACATTTTAGTATTTCTACTTTCACTTAAGTAAAGAATCTGAGTACTTCTTCCACTGCTGTTTAATATGAGGAAATATATTTTTCTCTTTCCACTGCCCAACCTCTAGATGGCGTAGCACACCAGAATGATTTGTGGTGGCAGTCTTTATTTATAAAAAATTAAGTGGAAAACAATTAATTTACTGTTTGATCGAATACTCACTATCACTTGGATCACAGACTTCATACTCATCATCGTTTGTCGGCTCCTGGACCTGGAAAATTACAATACCATTAAGTCAGTGTCCTCCTAGTCTGACTCATTGGAGGTAGGCTGTGGCTATAAACCTGCCATGGGCCGGTTATTTAGGCCAGCATTTTCCTGCCCTACCGTTACCTGCCTGTTTTCAGAATCCACTTTGCTACTGGAAACAACAACAATAGCAACCTCTGAGCTAACAACTTAGACACAGAAAATGGCAGAAAATTTGACAAAAAAAAGGATCCTTTGTTGTTTCTGTGAATTGTTGTAAAGATCTACAACGAATAAAACAACTTGTTGACATGCCCTTCGATTTATTTTTACCTTGGCAGCGGCATATGCCGATGACATGCTTCTGTGATAACGTGGCTAACAAATCGACGGTGGTTTTAATGAGTCCAGTGAGCACCTCCAGAACTTAAGTACAGTTGGGTTTCATCTCCACAGCACTGATTGTCATGTTATGTTTGTCTTTTTTTATCATTAAAAGTCAAATCACAAAGTCGATATAACTTCTTTTACTGTGTTTTTTTTTTTTTTCATTTAAAAATGACAGTGCTCAGCTCCCCACATGCAAATGTTCAACCAAAATTAGCTCCCCCAGCACTATTCTGTGAGGCACTGTCACTGCATCCCTGGCCTAGTGCCTCCAAGATGATTATGATTGGTTGAAAGAAATACAAACAAGCCAGAGCAGTTTTTCCTCTCTAGCAGAATGATAATGGGTGCTTCCAGACCTTTCTTTAGCCCTGACACGTACAATGCTATGGAGAAAGGTGTGGCTGCATGAGACTACTTTCCTCCTAACTGTGCATCATACATCAAATATCTGTAAAATGCATTTTTTGAATGAAATTCAACACATTTGTCATCACTTACAGCAGTAGGAGATCTCCCCATATTCAGTCTGAAAAAGAAACACAACCCATTATTAGTGTAATGGTAGGAGAGTAACCAGACAGAGAGAGCTGCTCTTTATGACGTAGCTGCTTTGAATGTTGTCAGTGTGAATCGTACCTGGGGCTGGGCTTTGGTGGTAATGAATGCGACTGTATTGTAGGGATTGGACGGGATCTGAAAGGAAATGATGAGTCTCAGACTGTAGTCAAAATTATTTCCACAATACTGTCATTTTATATTGTATGTCTGTACAGTTACATGAATAGACAAAAGTCAAGAAAGACTCACACTGATGTGCTTGCTGGAAGAGATAATGAGTTTCCCTGTAAAGATGCCATAAAATGAAACCACAATGAATTCCACATGTAAATATACTTTAAAAAACATACTTGTAATTGCTGTTACATAAAAGCCTACCTCTTTGTCAGGCACTTCATAAAAGTCTGAAAAACAACCAGAGCCAAAATTAGACACACTGTAAAGCCACAAAAACCTTGTTTTGTTGCTGGATCACATTGTTTTCATTACGCCTAACATGTCTCCAGCATGCAGCAGTGCCTGCCCCTGGGCATGCTTTTGTGTTTGGACCAACTGCTTTTGACTGTCTCTCATTGTGTTGTATTTACAAAGTATTCTCGTGCATTGGCCAATAAGCTGTTCATTCAATAAACATAATGGAGGCCTCCTTTATGTTTTAGTGTTTTGTTACCCGAGCAACATGGCTGTAAAGAGAGATTAAACCTATTTTGTTTTGCTAGGAATCCAATGAAATACTACTACTCTGTTTTGTACAGATATTAATACTTCAGCTATGATGTATCTTAATGTCCTTGTTGATCCCTCTAGTGTCACCATGGAGTTGACATTAGTGGGTTTGAGTGAAATGTCACATATTCAAAGAGTATTTTATTTCTTATCATTCAGTTTGGTACATGTCTTCATACCTCCCTCCGAATTAATTGAAATAATTTTGGCGATTCCTTATTTTTTCACTTAGGGCCATCATCAGATCAATAGTTTTTCTTCGCCCAATACTTTGGTTTATGATCAAACACCTGTAAAACTAATGACACCAGCTGTACATTGTGTTCAGTGCTATGTTAGCATGCTAAAAAAACACAAACCTAAGCTGGTTAACAATGTAAACATTAATGCCTGTTAAACACCAGCATTGTAGCATGGTCATTGTGAGCATGTTAGCATGCTAACATTAGCATTAAGCTCAAAGCACTGCGGAGCCTTCTTCTGCATTCTATTTACCATGGAAATCGGAGCTCGTAGCCAGAGATGATGTCACATTGCAGTTTACTGTATTCCAGTACAACAAGTTGAAAAACCAAGATGTTAACAATACCAGTTCTACACAGGTTAGCCAATGTTATCAATACCTGTTGATAAGTATTATGCTGTACATGGTGCCTAGAAACAGCTTAGAAATATGTCCACAGATAACCTACTGTCTGAATGACTGTTTTAATGAGACACAAATAGAAGTGTCCATGAACACTATAGCACTCCAGCTTTCACTTCTGCTGATGCGCAGAGCAGCCATCTTAGATTTTGAGGTTGGTGTTGGTGGCGTTTTTCCAACTTTCTGAGTTGGAAATCTGACTTAATGTGTTTGTTATTTAAGAAGAAGCACAAATTTGCAATAGGTGTGACCATGTACGTGCATGCAGCCATGCCTTGCCCTTTTTTGCTAATCGGCATGAACAGTTGTCAGCTGTCCTTTGGCTCATGACCAATCTTTCCACAAAATCTTGGGCAAGTCTGTGAATCTACTTGGAAGTTATGTGCCTTTTTGCATAGGCCACTCCTATTGGCGTGAACACAAACACACATTTGACTTGCATGTCAAATTTCAGCCTCCTAAGGCAAAAACTGTGGTCGCCACAGGGTGGGGAAATTTTTGTGTACCGACCGACCAACAGACTTACTTAAGAGCTGCTGGTCGCAGCTAAAAATATACATCACCCCTATCCACATGTTTCCAAAATGTCAGCTTTTCACAAACTTTTCAGAAAAAAAGTATTTTTTCAAAGCTAGTGACAATGCATTTCCTTCAAATAATCACATTCATGTCTTTGTTTAACCTCCATGACATCATTGTGCTTGGTGATACTTGGTACAGTGGGCAGCGACAAATGAGCAACTTATTAAATGCAGTCATACCAGAAGTGGTACTGTATCACCCGGTTATATCATGCACTATATCATTGTGTTACAAGTATTCTCAGGTTGTGAATTCAACACAGTTCGATTGTAAGAGAGTTGTGATGAGTACAGCGACCAATAATTCTAGTGGCTGACCACTTGTGAAATAGTGTTGAGATAAAACATTGTTACTGTTGTACTTACCAGGACTAGATGGACGCTCTGGTAAAGGTGTGGGCAACATGGGGAGGTCCCTCGCTGCTCTGCTCCCACCATGCATCATAGAATCTAAGGAGAGGCATGGCCTTATTATTATTATTAAATCTTTACAATAGTAGTCCTTTCAGATCACTGTTTTTCCACATACAGTTGCAATCAAAATTATTCAACCCCCATTGCATATTAGGCCTACTGGCAAAATATACAATTTCTCAGCTGTTTGCAATAAACAGATTACACAAGAACTGTTTAAGTAGTTCAGTGAAACCAATATTACAAGGGTTTTGATACAAATTCAACACAAAATGCTACTTTTAATGACTACTGCAGTCTCAAAATTATTCAACCCCTTCATGACAAGCATCTTCAGTACTTAGTAGAGCACCCTTTTGCTGTTATGACCTGCTGCAAACGTGATGCATAGCCAGACACCAGCTTCAGACAGCGTTCCTGAGGAATCTCAGCCCATTCCTCATGGGCAATGGCCTCCAGTTCAGTAATATTCTTGGGTGTGCGTTTTGCAACCGCCTTCTTCAAATCCCACCAGAGATTTTCTATGGGGTTCAAGTCAGGCGACTGTGACGGCCACTCTAGAATCTTCCATTTCTTCTTCTGAAACCAAGCCTTGGTGGACTTTGAGGTATGCTTGGGATCATTATCCTGTTGGAAGGTCCAATGACGCCCAAGCTTCAGCTTCCTCACAGACGGCACGACGTTTTTACCTAAGATTTCCTGATACTTGACTGAATCCATCGTGCCCTCCACACGCTGCAGGTTTCCAGTGCCAGAGGCAGCAAAGCAGCCCCAGAGCATCACTGAGCCACCGCCATGCTTCACTGTAGGCAGGGTGTTCTTTTCAGCATATGCTTCATTCTTCTTCCTCCAGACATACCGCTGTTCCATAGGCCCGAAAAGTTCCAGTTTTGTTTCATCACTCCACAGAACAGAATTCCAAAACTTCTGTGGCTTATTTATATGGTTTTGAGCATATTGGAGCCGACTTTTCTTGTGCTTTTGGGTCAGTAGTGGTGTACGTCTTGGAGTCCGGGCATGGAGCCCTTCGGTGTTTAGTATGCGCCTTATTGTACAAACTGAAACCTCAGTGCCTGCTGCCACCAAGTCTTGCTGCAGGTGTTTTGCAGTCACTCGAGGGTTTTTGACCACTTGACTTCTCAGGAATCTGGTGGCAGCTGCTGACAGTTTCCTCTTTCTGCCACGTCCAGGTAGTGTAGCCACTGTTCCTTTAACTTTGAACTTGTGAACTATGCTTCCAACTGTATCTCTAGGAACATTCAGAGCTTTTGCTATCTTTTTGTATCCTTTTCCTTGTTTGTGCAAGGCAATGATTTCTTCTCTGAACTTTCTGGACAATTCTTTTGACTTAGCCATATTTCTAACATGCAATCAAACGTCACTCTCAACAAACCCTTAGCCAGTCCAGGTATTCATGTGTTCTATCTCAAGCACACCTGAACTAATGAAGCCCTTGATTAGTTGCACCAGGTGTGCTTGAAACAGGGGGTTGAATAATTTTGAGACTGCAGTAGTGGTTAAAAATAGCATTTTGTGTTGAATTTGTCTACTTTGTTTATTGCAAACAGCTGAAAAATTGTACATTTTGCCAATAAGCCTAATATGCAATGGGGGTTGAATAATTTTGATTGCAACTGTATTCTAATCACAGAGTTTGTCTCCTCTCCATTCTGATGTGTATCTTACTGGAAGGTGGGGGCTCTGCAGGCTCTACGTAGTTGTCATCATCGTTACCACAGTCTGGATTGATGTAGTCTTCCTGTGAAACACCACATTGTGAAAAAGGAGCTACATCAGTTGTCCACACTCTTTGGAAGGTATTTACCAATACACAGGATATGGTGAAATTCTCTAAGACACAGTAATGTTTGTGCAAGTATCCACATGACACAGGCCTGCAGTACAGTATTTATGTGAGCGCGAGGAGGGGAAATTTGCTTTACTTCATCGCTCCCCAGTTGGGTGGGTTCAGGGGGCAATTCTTTGGAGGCTTTGTCTGGGCGGAGGGGCTTTCTGGGTGGCCGGCTGGGCCGGTTACGGCAGTTGTCTGGAAAGGGGAAGCAGAAGCAGAAACAGGACATCAGCATTTGCATAAAGCAGCGTTCTGAAGCCCTCTGTGTATTGTGGCTTTGGCTCCACAGTGTGAAGAGGCTAAATAGACCCATGCAGCTCCAGCTGGAAGAGAGTGATGACTGCAAAGGGGAAGCTATCGCAGATATAGAAACTGTGTGTGAAAAGGAGTTTGGCATTTCATCATCAGGAGAAATAATGATGATGGTAGAAAAATTACTACACAGTCAATTTTTAGCCCCAAAAAAGTGCAGATATAAACACTTCTTCATGTCAGATGACTACTGACCAAGATACTCCCCCCTTTGGAAGGAAGCTGACTGAGTTGTGGTGAAGTCTTTGTGGCTGGGAGGTGGCTCGTAGCTGTCATCATGGTCCTCACGTGGATCCTCATACATGTCATTATCCTGGGAACACAGTATTTTTAATGTTTCAAACAAATATCAGCCAAAAAACAACAATTTCAATCACTTATAATTAACATGTTTTCCATCTTACGTAATCAGGTTCAGACAGTTCATCATCCTCCCTGTCATCTGTAAACACAGAAATGTCAGGGGATTTCAGAACAAAGAGGGGAAATGAGCTTGAGATGGGTCCACAATATGTAAAAGCAAACATTTCAGTTGTGGATTTTATTAAACCCAGCTAACTACAAAAACAGAAAATACTAGCAGTAATTTCATTGGAGCAGGTGTCAGAGCACAGTTTCTAATTTTAGAACGAAGCCTACTCTTTCTCTGTCGAGGAAGCAGCGGAGCGTGACTCCTCACCTCTTGGACTATTAAATAATCTCCCAACATGTGACCTAATTGCGGTTTTTTACAATGCAGTATGAACAGAAGCTTCACATAATTAAGCACAGCGTGTTTCTCAAAAACAACATCTGGAAACAGGTGCAGTGGTGTCAACGTGTTTCCATACATTCTGGCCTTTCATGATCATGAAAGTAGAGAAGGCAAATGTAAAATGATACATGATGTGTAAGTGCTAATTGTAAGGGTATAAATAACTTCTGGTACAGTCAAGTTTAGTTCAGTAACACATCTGATTTTGAGGTGTTTGGAACAAAACTCACTGATATAAAACTTGCAAAGGGTGATTAGCTCACACAGCAAGAGCGTAGGTTTCGTTTCAACATTGGGGGAGGGGGGGGGGGGGGATTATATGAAATGGGGATTTTGGGGGTCCTCCCCTGGGAGATTTTGAGCATCAAACCCAAAATTACCTGCATTCTGGTGAATTTTTATGCAACAGTTTGGGCTTTTTATAGTGGAAATGTCTTGAATTTTGTCCCAAAAACTGTTCACGTTCTTATCAAAGCTGCTCATTTTTTTAATTACTGAGGGGGACATGTCCCCAAACCTACTCCCATGACAAAACCTACTCCTATGACAGAGTGATTAGCTCAGGCAGAATGATCTCAATATACAATATCATCTACATGATGACTGAAATAAGCTTAAAATCTTAAAATCTAGGGGTGGAAAGTAACTAAGTACATTTACTATACTTAATTACTTGTACTTGTAATTTTTGAGTATTTCAATTATATGCAATACTAATAAACCTACTCCACTACATTTTAAAAAGAACTAAACTTTTTCTTTTTTACTCAGTTAAATTGATCTGACCGCTGTAGATCGTAGTTTGTTTTGCAGATTAAGATTTTGCATTAAAATCTATGATCAGCTTATAAAATATGATTTATAGAAATCGATTAAACTACCCAAGAATTTATAAAGAAGTTTAAATGAACTCTATCTTGACCAACTGTGGCATTTTATTACATTAGTTATAATATACCTGTAATACATACATAGATTATATATAGAGTTGGGACCGAGTCATTGTATTTGCAAGTCCTGAGTTAAGTCACAAGTCAAGACAGGCAAGTACCGAGTATTAAACTTTCAGTGTTGAGTCCAATGGGCTCTTCAACAAATGTAATGCCAATTAACAATAAAGTAATAATATATCACATTTGCAAAAATCACGCATGCTTTTTAAAATTTGTATTTATTTGTTAAAACAAGTTTGTTAAAAAGTTACTAACTAACTGTCGACACGACCCTCGACTTACTCTTCTTTGTGCAACTTGTGCAACAACTGTTTAACGAAGTTGGAATTTGTTGCGTCTCCATCTGTAATTTTTAACAGCGTTGTTTTTGTATGCAGTCAATTTGTATGTATCGTTTTTGTCCAACTGATGCTCAGTAAAATTAGTTCCCTTATGGTTCTCTGCTGCAGCCTGATTGGATGATGTCAGATTGGTTCAAACAAAGTAGATCATCTGGGGAATTAAGTGTGGACTTGTTGGGAATACAGAGTTTAACATTAAAAACACTCCATCCTGGTGGGTTTGGATAAGACCAAAGAAATCAGCCAACCACAGTTATACATTAAACACTGTGAATATGCTGGCCACAATCATCTACATTAGTAAAATGTGATATTATCTGTGGGAGGAGAGACATTATCACACTCCTCCTATTGGGTTCTAAAAATCCAAACTTGTCTGCACTCCTTTTCCCCTCCAGTTTATCAAGTCTGTCCAAGAACAATGCTCATATGCCCATATGTTATAGGTCAGTCTAATACTTCCTTCTGTCCATAGTGGATGTTAAAAGATTTCAGTAACTCTATTCCACTGTAAGCAAAAGGGGACAAAATCCACAGTCCTCTATGCAAAATACCTCCCAAGATCAACTCAAGGTAATAAGAGGATTCATCACGCTAAGGTAGCCAGATCTAGTGGGTTTTCTCTGAAGTTCCTCCTCTTTTATTACCACATGTTCACTTTGTTTCCTACATTGTTTCCTTGTTGAGCTTCATGGTGAGGTAGTAACACAAAGAATAAACACTTGAATTGGCAAAGCTGCATGATTACAGTGACCAGTGATTCTTTCAATGCACATATTGAGCACTGTTATAAGGCAGACATACATAAAAATGGGTATCGATCTTCTTTTTCAGCATCATACTGATTTACTGACCAGTGGTTGAACTCAAGTCAGACATAAGTCACAAAGTCGATGACTTTAGACTTGGCTTGACGAATCAAATCAGACTTGGAACTTTTGATAAGGAAATACTTAATACCTTCTCCCAAGCCCAAATATTAAAAAGTATGTAATTTAAAAAGTGTAACACGAATCAATTAATTTCCCTTTATTTCCTGAATAAACCAACATTAATACTATTCATTCCTGAGAAGTAAACACTTAATTTTCCAGATCCACTTTGTTTGAACCAATCTGACAGCATCCAATCAAGTTGCAGGAGAGAACCATGAAGAAGTGATGTTACGTTACACAGCCCGAGCTGGAAAATTTATCCCAAAGATCATTTTGTTCACATACAAAAACTTTGCCGTGTTCATCAAAAAAAAAAACAACAACAAGAAAACAAGAAAAGAAAAAGAAATGTGGTTTGTAAAACATGTGGGTCGAAAATCAAATGTGGATTGAAAATTCCCTCAAACTCATCCTAACAAATAACGCAAATTTTAAACAGCATTCAGAATTTTTTTTAAAATTTAATATATTACTGGTCTGCTGGTAGAGTCTCGCTCTGATGTCACTGAAATCTGGCACTTGGGCAGTGACTTGCAGCGTTGGAAACCAATGAAAAAAAAGGCGTCCTTTAACGTCGGCATGATACGTGGCCAGTTGCCATTATAGTTTAACGGTGCGTGGCGGCATCAGGGGAAAACATGGGGGAGACAAGGATGAAAGTTAAGGCGTTGGATGGGTCCAACAAACACCAGCTTTCATACGACAGAGTGGTGTTTGCATCCTGTAAGATTCTAAAGCCAAACCCTGTTCTTTTTTCCTAAACCTAACCACATTTTTGTTGCCTAAACCTAACCATGTGCATTTGTTGCCTAAACTCAACAATGTGTGTTTGTTGTTGAGGGAAAAAAAAAGTCAATTTGCGTTGTTGTACCAACATAGTGCATTTATTTTGAAATAGACTTTATGTAAATGTTAAATTTCCTGTGAAAATGGAAGTGTATCTTGAAAGAAAAGAACTTGAAAAAGTGTCCCAGAACATCAACAACCAACGCACCCAGGGTACCTTGCATCGTATGTGGACGTGGAAAGTCCATGATTAAAATGTCAATATGTGATGAGGTCGGAGTGAGAATGTGTTGGCTGTTAATATGGCATTACGTTTGATGAAACATGCATTAGGACTCGGGAAGACTAAAAGCATGCATTGTTTAGGACTCAAAGCTCAAAGATTAGGACTTGGGACTTGTCAGTCTTGACTTGTGACTTGCCTCGAGACTTGAATGCTAAGACTTGAGACTTACTTGTGATGTGCAAAATACTCTCGGCCCCAACTCTGCCATTAACAGTTTGTATTGTACCACATGTGTGGATCTTGTTGTGTTGCAGTGATAATGACTCAGTACTTACCTCTGTAATCTCTCGCAGGTACTTTTGGAAGTGGTTTGCTTTTCAGCCTGCCACATAGAGAGATATTGACATCAGCAGCTGGCAATGAATGATTTAACAGTGATGTGACAGTGTGAACTCATCCACTAGCTATTAATAATAATTGATTTAAATTATTAATGTTGGATTGTTTGAGTAATGACGCTTTGTCTTAGTGCAAGAGACATTCCACCTGCATCCTTACATCTCAGCAGACACCTGTGCTGTAAAACTCAGAAAACCTCAGATATTTACATAAAGGCAGTTAGCAGACTGCTGTGCGTATTAACCAGTCAAGACGAGAGTAATCCGTGATGCATGTGTCATTACAGTGTCTATCCTTATGTGCCTTAAGGGGACTCATTTCAGGAAAGGAAATTGAAACAGCCATCTGTTAAAGTTATTTTTGGTGTATTGGTCTTACTCTTATTCCAACGGTTGTGAAAGAGGAATTGACGTTCTCCAATGATGCATACACAGACCACACGACTTTTACCCCAGTCAGACTTCTCAGGCATTTATCTCCTACTTAACAATACACCTACAGTAACACTGATAGATTTGTCTTTTTTCCATCCATAATATTATTGTGCAGTACCTTAAAAAGTGCAGTAAAGATTTTGAAATTTTAGAAACTGACCGTCTTAGTTTGTTCAGTAAGCCGCCGTCATTTTTCTTGATGTCTTGAACAATCTTCTGAAGCTGCCTGGAAAACACATAATTTGGCTTTGTCATTCAAAACGTTTTTATTCATGTAATAATAAATGCAGACAAGTTCTAACCCTTTTGCTGCTTCCAGAGAAAAGTTAACAGTTGTATCACAATGCTTTTACTGACACTATGTTGCAACAAATATAAGAAGTTTGTAGTTTTGTTTTTGTCCAAAGTGCCGAATATGTACATAGTTTTCTATACATTAAAAAGCATGAACAAAAAGCAATGTTGGAAGCAAAATATCAAAAACCTGATCTTCTTACCGAATCTTTGCTGTAGCAGGAGCAGCGAGTTTACCTAACGTATCCAGATTCATGTTTGATCCAGGAGTTTACATTTTCAGGCCTCATTCCTCGCGTACATTAAATACATGCTGCCACACTGTTGGCAGAAATGTAAATGAACACTGGTGTTTGGCCAAAAGTCACCACTATGTCACAGAGGGGAGGGAATTCATGCTAACCAGCCTCTGTAGGAAAAATCACTTCTCGTTTCCACTCCCCGTCTCACACATACTCAACAACAGATTTCAGTGAGCAAACCTCTTGCATCATATCTCTCTAGACTCTTTTCAGTTCCACTTCCAACCAGCTGTTGCCATTTGAACTGCTGCTAATAACTATACAGTATACACACCACCTGAGTGAGATCATCAGATGAGGCTTTCAAGTTTAAAGTCTCTACTGACTTTAGTTTCTCAAGATTTCCATCATCTGCAAAGAACTTTACCACAAGAGACGTTTCATAAGTGGTGTCACCTTTGGACACCCTTTTCACAAATACAGTATTTTAAGTGACACATTTTGGAGGGTGTAAGTGTAAAGTGGGTGCATGTTTACCCATCGTTGCTTTTAGCTTTAAATCAGGTGTAAAGTTAAATATAGTGTGTGACGGAAAGTTCAGAATTGTAATCCTGTTTTCTATTTATGGGAGGACAAGTCAAAAGTGACTGGGCGGGCTTTCCTGTTGATCCATTACACTGTGTGTGTGTGTGTTTGTGTGTGTTTGTGTGTCTGTGTGTGTGTGGTCATCACGGGGATTTTTGCTAAGTAAATGTCTGTTCTATTCGACCACAGCAGAGGAGGAGAAATGACCATTTGGAATTAAGGAGACAGTTTTGGATTTTAAGCACCGCGCTGTGTATGATTCATGATGAGAAGACAGCTTTTAGTCACCATTTCTTCTGGAGCCGCTGAGACAGAAACTTGTATAAAACCACTGGGGACACTTATGTGCTTATGGGAAATTTTAATTCCTGTCACCTCACTAAGTGTTCTCTAGTTCTCCCACTATTTAGAGCTTCACTGTTTAATCTTCAGAATCAGAGGCAAAACCTTGATGAGATACTGAAAAATATTGTGCTATTAAGTAACATTTGAAGTCTGTTCTGTAGCTGTGATATGTGTATCAATGACTCCAGATCCTGTGTGTGTTTTTAAACATGCATTTTCTACATTGTCAAAGAGGATCCTCTTCATGCAACAGCAGTAACGTGTTACTTCCTGGTTCAAAAAGTGCATGATGAACCACAGAAAAACAGGAACTAAAAGAGAAAAGTGTGGGAGCCCTGCACTGACAATACCACAGTGTAATTATTCTATTTAGTTGAAACTGAATTTGCTATATTTGTACAGGGTAAACAACAACAACAAAAAAAAATCACTTGCATATTAGCAGCATTACTGCTGAAATAAAAAATAATTTAATTAATTTAGTATTAGATTAAAAATGTATGTATCTATATATACATATAAATTGGTGCGCTCAAAAGCATGATCCACATATAATGAAACTGAATGTGAAATGGCCTTAGAAAAGGATTTGAATTTTAAAGATTTTAATCAGCAGGGAACAGGTTATACAAACTTAAAAAATAAAATGAAGTTTGCACTTGATTTTAGCTCATATTTAACCATAAATAGAATTTTTTTTTTTTTTCATTTTTTTGTGTCAGTAAAGTTTTCATTTTTATTTTTATTTTAGCAGCAATGGCACATTTTTAAACACAAAGATGTATCATCTTATTTTACATTTTTTTTAATATATATATCAATTACTGCAAATGCAGTTTTAGTTTGACTGACTGGTTTCACTTCATCATAAATATGATCTAACATGTTTTTGTGAGACACACACACACACACACAGATACATGAACAGGAACATACCTTGCAAACAAGAACAAACAACATGCAGACAAATATGCAGGTGCAGTCAGGCAGGCAGACGACACTCTGCAGCTACATCAGCTCATACACGCACGCACACACACACACGCATGCACGCACACACACGCACACATACCCATGTATTGTGGTTTTATGATGTTTAAAACTGTATATTTTCAGGCACATTTTAGGCGTATATGTAAAAGCCCAACAAGGAACAATAGTTAAAAAATAGCAATTGCTATAAACTGTGCATCAGTCTCATACTCTGTATTGGAGCTACGCATGATTAACTGCATCGTCCCAATCAAATAAAATATAATACAATCCGCACACAGACTCATATTTAACACACTGTAATTTCATTTCATTTCTTTTCAAGTATGTGAGTTTTATATACTCTACTGATAACTCATGACCTCCAGCATCCTGTCACTTGGAATTCATTGCTAGATGCTAAGAATACTAAGAAGAACAGACTGAGCATCCCAATGGATTTGAAGAGTAGTCTACATTTTGTGAATAGCTTCAGTGTTCCTGAAATGTGTTACTGTCGTGACAACATTTAAAAAAAGGAGATAAGAGAAGCAGGGAGGTGGTGAAAAGAAAGGAAGGTGTGATTGGGGTGTGTGATGACAGCAGAATAAAGGTGTTACTTACGGTTGGTGGATGAGACTAAATTTCTTCACGTCACTGTCAGACAGGTTCTGTGAAAAGCGTCACATAAATCTACTGTAAGCACGTGATAACAAATTTGAGAACATTTTGAGCTTACAGAGTTCAGAGGTGATAATACGTGTGTGTCACCTTCACTAAATACACACGTCATTGTGTTAAGGCTGCAACACAGATACATCTGTGGTCATGCATCACCTCTTAGCTAACAGGAGATGGCAGCACCTCACTAAGGGCCACTCCATCAGCAAGGTTTGTCTTTCTAATGTAACCCTCATGTTATTTTTACACTAAACCAAAGAGGAAGAGAAATCACTTTATTGGGAGCTGCAGGGTCACATATGGTAGCAAACATTACATAAATGCCTAGATTAACACATAAAAGCACATCTTATAATTGTCAGTATTGTTTTGTTCCTTCATGAAGGACACACAGTGACAACACAATTCAAAATAAGTAAATAAATAAATAAATCATAGATAAAAATATGTGTTTTGTGTGCTGTTGCCTAGTTTCCCTTTTGTGTATTCAAACTGCCGACCTTCAAGTGAAGAACCTGCTCCTCTAACCAAAAACACCCCACCACCAAATTGCACAATTTCACAAATCAAGCATTTAAAAAGTTTACCCGGCTGCCCGCTGCACTGGGATTTTGTATTTAACGTCGGATTTGCATGGAGGCAATTGTGATTCGCAAATGAAAGGAAATGATTACCATAAAATATGCAACAAAATCCCGCTAAATTATGTATTCTCCTCTTCATTCATAATTCATTGCTCTGGGTCGTTACTTGCTCTGTCTCCTCTCTGTTTTATATTTGTTGTAATGTAATGAAGATCCATGACAACAAATGTTTGTAAAAGTTGGGGTATTTTAAGTTTGTAAGGTGTCAAATGAACAAATAGAGAGAGGCTTGTGATAAGAAGCCAAAGCAAGAGGTATGAGTCTAATATGGCCAGTTAATTTAGATATGAATAATGCATGGGTGGCCCTTTATCTGCAGTCTCCTGTGAAACAAGTGTAATGATGTTCTGTTAAGATGCCTACAATTGATTATATAGTCTTTTTTCAAGGCTGTTTATGGTTTGATAATGCAGCTCACATGAGTGCAGTGTGTGAATATGGGAACGTAGGTGCAACAAAAGGATGTGTTGCCTCTAGGAACGAGACCATAGTATTGTGTAAGCCCTTTAAGCAGAGCTTGTGATTTAATCATTTGTAAATCAGAGAGTGAGATCACTTAATATGAAAGGCTTTACCTCCTTCAAAGAACTGAACCTTGGCCTCACGGATACACACTTGATCATCCCACTGGCTTACAGGAGAATATCGGTATAAAATCAGACTTAGCCTTTTGACACCGAATAAAATATCAAATAGTTCACCCCAGTGGATACTCAGACACTGCTCCCACTTTGAATTATTTATAGGAGTGTCTGTGCTTGTTCAAATGAGACACAACAGCTCTACAAGCTGCAGCGTCTTTCCTTTGTACTACAGACCGCGAACTCTCACACAAAGCAGCTCTCAATGACATCTTAAGTTTTTACACGTTTTTATAACGTACATACAGTCCAATTAGCATGTATGAACAGACAACTACTGTCTCTGTGGTCCACTCTTTCTCAAGCTTGAATTCTTGCTTGTAGTGACGTGCTTTGTGTTCATAGCAGTGCGTGTGCGTGCCAGTTTTGGAGCTGAAGATTATTTGAATGAGTGATTCACTGTACTGGGCGCTTTCGATATTTTAATCCCTATTTCCTTTAAAGCCACCATAGAACAGCTTTTCCTGGTGTTTCATAACGTGGCATTAATACATTGCTTTATCTGTATATGCATTTCAATATTGTTGTTGTACTTTGTTAGTATTATATTGTTTGATGTTGTCTTTTATTATGTGCTGACTGTCTTATCTGGTTTTGTAAAGTGTCCTTGAGTGACTTGAAAGGCACTTATAAATAAAACGTTTTATTTTATTTTATCTTTTTAATGTAAATCTTGGGCTGGCAGACTGAAACCAAAAGCCATAACTGAATATCATGAATTCTATGATGCTGTTGATGTACTGTATATGGGCTAGTTGTAAGAAATTGCCTATTGATACACTTCGGTTTTTCCATTTTACAGCTAATGTTACTAATTATCACCTATACAGTCAGCTTTCAGTGTTGGGAAGGCTACTTTTGAAATGTATTAGGTTACTGTTAAAAATGTAATAAGTATGTAATTATTTTCATTACTTCATCAAAGTAATGTAACTCACTACATTTGATTAGTTTTCATTACTTCCCTAAAAAAGGTTTTAAATTGGGCAATAATGCTAAACAATGTCTAGATATATAGTCTGTGCCAAATGATCGCATTCCTGCATGGCAAAAAGATGCAAAGCAACAGAATGAATGTTATATTCTGCATATAAACTTTTTATGGAAAATAATATACTATAATCAACATTTTGATTAGTTACTGTAATTTAATTACAATCTTTATCTCAGTAACTGTAACTGATTACAATTATATTATTTGGTAATTTAACTACT